ACAATATAAATATTTTTATTAAGAGGGCCAAAAGGGCGGAGTACATAAATTATTTTATTATATATTGTCAATGTCAGAACAATAACCTCTAGCAGAAAAGGAATCTTCATAATCTATGACTCTTTCCTCAATACCCTCGTCAGAATCATAGTAAAAATATCTTCCTGAGTACCTTTTTCTTCTTCTTCAGCTTCTTCTTTTTCTTCTTCTTGGTCTTCCTAACCCTAAGTTTATCCTTAATAGCAGTCAATCCAGATGGCTGAACCTCCTCAGTTGACTGAATATCATGATGTTGTACTGTGGTAACTTCAATTGAGATATTTCTGTTAGCATTCTCAGACAGAAAGCTCATGTTTCTATATGAAGTTAAGAAGAATAGTTTTGAAGAAGTGAAAATTCAGTAGATGAAATTGTGCATTTATAAAAGAGGTTGAAGATAAAAGATATGATGATTTAATGCTTGAAATGATTACTTCAAATAGTCGATATTATTGAATGATATTATGATCGTCTTGAAAATTGAAGAAAATTTTCAATCATCATTATAGTTGGGAAGAGCGTTTCTCGGTTTAGGGAAGAGCAATGGTTGTATAGATAATATTACAACGGTTGCATATTAAATTTGTGATTAAATAATATTCAATATTTTATTTACTTATGAATTTAAGTGACACACGTTTTATATAATTGGAAAAAATGGAAAAAAATGTAGATACCAAGATTCGAACCATGTACCACTCACTCTATCACCACGGTTGTGTCTACCAACCGTGATAAAATAACTTTTAAAAAAATAAGGTACATCCAGTTTCTTATATTACAACGGTGGATTGATTCACCGTGGTAATATAATGTTACAAAATGTGTATTTTGTAGTAGTGACTACAGTTTAGGCATCTAATAATTTTTATGATTAACTTTTCAGTTAAGAATGTTTTTCCCAAAATTATCATATGACTCACGATATGGGTGAATCATGTTTGTGTTTGACTTATGTTCTCTTCAGGTTTCATTATTAAGAGTTCATACTCATGGGTAATGTTCCCAACCTTGCCCTCTTTACCTCAGTAGTTCCTTCATATGTAATTTGGAGTACGTTCTACATTTCTTTAGCAGTTTTCCAGTGAAAAGCTCATAAAAATGCATAAAAACCGAGAGCAGTAGTGATGGTATTTTTGGCTTTCAAACTGCATTGCACATTTTCTTTTTCATCTTTAGACCAATCTTTTTCAGGGTTGTCTACTACAAGACCATCAACATTGTGTGTAGGGACAAATGGCCTTTCTTTCACAATCTTCAAAATACCACTATTCGTCCCTTCTATTCAAAATTTTATTTTCTCTTTCCATAAACTATAACCTGTTTCATTGAAGGATGAGGGTCGTTTAGTAAATAGTTTGAAGTCATTTTTCCTCCTGAGACAATTAATCCTTAATAGAAGTTAGGTTCTTATGCTACTTGTTGGACAAGTGACTTCAAGCACAAGAAGGGAGGGGGTGAATTGTTGTTTTTAAAATTTGTGATTGATTTTATACTTTTCTCTATTAAGAACGAGTTAATAGATTCTTAAGAGTAAATCATAGAGGAAATTAAAAAAAAATAGTAAATAACATAAAAAAATAAAGAGAAAGTTATTCAGGTTTTCCCGAACATTGGCCTAGTCTTTTCCCTAAGAGGTCTTCTTGAGATTTTGACTATAAACTTTTGAGCTTTTATAAGTTATGCTCACAAACCTTAATATAAGCTGATTTGCAAATATTTACAAGCTTATCCCCAGCCAAAGATATATTTAACATCAGGCTAAGATAACGAAACTTCTTAGTGATTTGTAAGTAGATCTCAATAACCAAAGCATGAGTTTTTTCGAAAAAAACTTAATAAAACATATCAGATATTTTATGACTAGTTTATCTCATGAACCAAACTCAATTTTCTCAACAGTATCGCATTCCCAAGAAATAATAAAAAATAATACGACCACTTACAAAAACTCTTCCTCACTTGCAAAGTTTCACTCAGAAGCACCTAGAGAATTTTAAGTGAAAAAAAATATTTATAGAGAGAGATATAGATAAATTCCCAAAAAAAATGTAAATCATTTGAAAGTGGTGTGAAATGAAGAGGAGGCGAGCCTCCTTTATAAAACCAAAAAAAGAAATAATCCATGAGCTAAATTAATGAGCTAATCAATTAGCACAAAGCTCCAAGTGAATGACCCCAACTCATTTTTTATCGGTTAGCATGCCTAAATAGAAAATATTGGATATAGAGTTGTTGCAACTCATTAATGTGATGTCCTAATTGCTTGCTTAATTGATTATCTCTTCTATAATCGATTAGTTTAATGCTCCAATCGATTGGCACGAGTTACCAATCAATTGGTTTGTTCAAAAATAGTTTGGAAAATGTTTGGAAAGCTTTTTTAATCACTTGGCTTATCTTAGAAAATAATTTTCAAGATAAAAGTATTGTAGATATATTTTTGTTAAGTGTGTTTGTATGTATGTGTGTGATTTACCTTAGTACTTCTAAGTTACTTCCGTACTTTTATAATACTCGGATCACTGAGATAGAAAAACATACAGACATGATCCGGCAAGCTTTCATACTTTATCTGAGGCTTCAAGGTTCTTTGTTAGATTGCTTCTGATCATATAAGTACTTCTGATCTTGAGTTTTCTTTTGTTGATGAGGCATAAGATGTTTTCTTTTGTTAGACCATCATCATCAAAGTTGAAAGCTATTTTCACTAAATTTAGCCATCATTGTCGTCATCAAAAATTTAAATGGATGTTCCATGGGATTTTCAAATTCATACCTGCAAGCACATTGGTCCCCAAAAAGAACGTGAAAAACTTCATGAATACAAATAATACTTTATCTCTTAATGATTGGTGGAAATGGAATAGGATATTGTTTAACTGTTAAGGAAGACTATCTGTTTATATAGTAGGCAATATATCTAGAAGGCCCATTAAGGTTTTTAAAGCAAATCTATAGCAAATCTGATCCAATCCTTATAAGAACATTTATAGTCTAGAATTTCAAAACAAATCTACAACAAATCCAATTCAATCCCTATAAGAACACGCAGAACACCTGGAATAAAAGATCATTTTCAATAGATTCACAATCCTTCTCAAGTTTCACAAAGTCAATACCACCATCGACTTTGGTCGTATGATGTTTCCATCCATGATTACAAATTTCTAGGTCTTGTAGTCCATGGGCTTGAGGAAATAAACCACGTGAGCCTTTAAGAAATCATGATTCATTCGATCAAGATTTAATAAATTCTCCTTACTTATTATTCTCCATCTTAAACATATAAGGTTGGTCTTGTAGAAAAAACAGCAAGAGGAGCAATGTGCCACTGCTGATTCCAAATAAAATTTTGCTTAATCAAAGACAAGATGACACAAACAACGTTAAGAAAACATTGAAACAAGATGGTCTAAATTAAATACACAATGAATTGTTAACCTAGTTAAATTCAATTGAAACTTACGTTTGGAGGACAATAGCTCATTAGAAAGAAAATAACATAAAACAAATTTTAACACATATAATACACACACCCTATTTCTCAATGCACAAACAACGCGTCCAAAAACCTAGAATGTGTGTATACAAATTACTAAATTAAGAAAGACTATCTCTTTATATTGTAGACAATACAACTAGAAGGGACACTGAGGTTTCAAAACAAATCTATGACAAATCTGATATAATCCCAATAAAATCACGTAGAATCTACAATTTCAAAACAAATTTACAACAAATCTGATTATCCCAATAAAATCACTAATAATCTGAAATTTCAAAACAAATATATAACAAATTGGTTCCAAATCCAATTAGATCACTCATAATCTAAAAAATAAATAAATAAATAAAAAGATAATACGATTTGTTCCGACTAAAATTTGCATATAATCTAGAATATAAGTTTTTCCCAATATATCGCACTAGAAGAATTCATAATAACGAAGTCAAAATGTCTACAACAATTTACATCACAAGACAAGAGACATCTTACTAAATATTTTGTCATAAGAGTAACTACATCAAGATAAATATATATCATTATCATAAAAATTAAATGTTCACATATTAATATAATAATTAAATGTCCATATATACATAAACCAGTAAGAATATATATAATGTTTCTATACATCTAGTCATATCAAGACTATTTCTTCTTCATGATGTTACATTCCCTTAAACTAGACAAAAATGATTTACTTTCCATCTTCAACAAATTCTATAGTATCAACATACTCTAATACTCTAATATTCATGTGAAAGCTGTATTGACATTGAAAATGAATAAAAATCTCACTTCCTGGTTTTTTAAGTATTAACAAGTGTGAGTAGGGTGGATAATAGTCTCACATTGGATAGAAATGTGGTGACTTGAGCATTTATAAGTGAGAGAACCCATACACCTATCACCTTAAGGTTTTGGGTGAGTATGTGGTGTGTCTCTCACAAAGGTTGTTCTAGAAAAAAGTATCACTATGTAGTGATTATACACATAATTTTAATTCTCACCACATTTGTAGGAGGATACCACGTTAGCAAGATTTATACAATTTAAAACAATGCATGTAAATTACATATAAATCAATTCACATGTTGAGCGATGTTCTAGCATTCCTAACCAAAATCGATTCCAGCATGTTTACTCAATCATTTTACCGTAAATAAAAAGTATTATGAAAATGTGTTAATTATTAGGAATACAGCTCCACGAGATAGCTAGTAACTACAACAAGTACTATGATTTCAACACTGTCACTTTCCACTAGTAGACAAGAACAGCAGTGCATCATTTCACAGCCTCAGCCTCCGATCTTTACAAGCCTTCAAGATAAGATTCAATTAATACATACGAGCTACCATTCCAACCACCATTCCTACTTCCTTCCATTATAAATAGACAACACTTTCTTACTATTTTTCTCATCCTTCACTACCAAATATCACATTTCACAATGGATTCCAAAAACGTTTTCCTCATCCTTGGTCTATTGGCCATGGTTCTTCTTATTTCATCAGAGGTGTCAGCTAGGGAATTAACTGAGGGTGAGCTAGTTATACATTATTTATATTACTTTGAGCTTAAAATATATATTATTTTTAAGAGCATATAGAAGTTATAATTAATGTCATATATATTTACAATGTTGCAGAGGCTGTTGAAAAGGCGAATGAAGTAAACGATGCCAAATATGGAGGTTACGGCCGTGGTGGTTACCATAATGGAGGTGGTTACCACAATGGAGGTGGATACAATGGCGGTGGCGGTTACCACAATGGTGGAGGTGGTTACAATGGCGGTGGCGGTTACCATAATGGTGGAGGTGGTTACAAAGGTGGTGGTTACCATAATGGTGGTGGTGGTTACCATGGTGGAGGTGGACATGGTGGACATGGTGGTGCTTCCAACAACGGTAACTGATAATATCAACATTCTCAGTAATAAATGTCATGAATTAATAATGTTGAGTGTTGAAAAAAAAAAGAGGTATAGATAGATAGACATGAATCATTTATGGTAATGTATTATCTATCTTGCAACTCTTTAGTATAGTTATTTCGCAACTCTATAAATCACTATGTATATGTGATGATGAGTTTTGTTTCGAATCAAAGTGGTGAATGTTCTATCATTTGTAATATATTAAATTTCATCTTTGTTAGTACTTTGCCTCCTTTTATATTTATATATCCATTCTAAGTTTATCTAAGAATTAAAAATTCGTCTATTAATTCACAGAACAAGCAAATGTAAATATAAGGTGAGACTCTAAAACCATGCATGTTGCTTCATGCATAATTATACAGTCTTTTAGTAATGAAAAGTCATGTAATCATAAATATAATCAAGAAATTTAACTTCACTCTTTAGAGTGCATCTTCTCTAACATGAACATAGCCTTGATGGCAACACATCTTAAAGGTGTAAGATTTGCCACCATTTTCCACTAGCATTCCACAATCCACACACACAAATGGTTTTTTTATTTATAAAAGGTTAATCTTTTCAATTCTCTTAATGATCTATATTTTAACAATAACTTTTTTTTAAATAATAAATAGTAATTATATAAATAAAAGTGAATAATCTCCAAAGTATATCAAAGATATCCGTCAAATTTAAGTGATTGAATCATCTATCACATCAGACTATTAGAAAATTCTTTTCTTTTTTTTTTAAGAAGAAATTCGGGTCAAATTTCAAATAAAGTTAAACAATTTTTGGATATTTTCAGATAGAGAATTTTAAATTCACACAGATTTTAAAAGAAAATACTTTGATAATAGTGACGTAAAAATAACGATTAATTGATAAGTTAATTGATAGATTATATAGTATATAATTGATGATTGATGGCTGATAATTTATAATTTATAGCTAATTGTTGATGACTAATAAGTAATAAATTAGTTGAAATTTTTGATATTTTTTGTATTTAATATATAATTATTTTATTTTAAATTAAAATAAATTATAAAGGATAAAAATAAATTTTAATTGAAATAATAAGAGTAAAGAGGAAGGGAAAATAATAATATATAAATTATAAATTAAAATGCTATTTAAAACAATATCTTATAAAAAATATAAGATATTTTGTTGTCATAAAGATTTATAAGATATATGCTTTAAAATATGTCATGTCAACAGAGTCTTTATCTAAAATATCCTTATTGGAAATACGAAATATCATCTCAAATAACGGATGAATTCAATATTATTTCATAAAAAATTTAGACAGCTTATAATTTATTTTGATTATCAAACTTAAAATAAAAATTATTATTATTTAATTTTATCAAAAAACAAAAAATACTTATTGTTAATAATTTAACCCATAGTCTATGTCACAAATAATTATCTTTTTTTATACAATTAATTTTAGACTAATTTAATTATTATTCTTTTTTGTTACAAAATAATTAATCATTCCAATAATTTTTATTTTTAAATAAAGTTTTATTGTTATACCCAAAAAGAATCCATAATTTAACACCCTTCTAAACCCAACATGTAATTAGCGGAATTATATAATCACCAACATACGGATGTCACACTTCATAAACCACAAACTATCCTACTCCGTAACATGAGTTACAACAAACATATTAACATGTCATCGCATGTTCACCTTCATTTAGGTATCATTGCACAAAAATTCAACATCAACATTTAAAAAAGGTAGAATTACATACGACATTTAGTCTTAAACTTCCATTTTAATAACATCATAAAGAGTCGTAAACAGTTCAACTCAACAATTTAACATATTCAACATAATACGATTCATCATAAAACATTATAGATTAATTCAAAACATTCGACCCCAACCCAATGTTACACGATTAGAGCAGAACTCCACTACATAACGACTACTAATGGAAGTCAATATAAGGCCTCCTTCCACTTACTTCTATAGGGTCTACTCCTGAGTCTTTGCACGATGTCCACGTAGAAACATCATTCAAATATAAGGGGTGAGTAATCATAATCAATTATAAATGACATAAGTGAAAGATAGCTCAATAAACATGTATAATCATTCACAACAACAACATGTTACTCTACTCACACGCATCACATCATCATCATCATATACAAGGATATTATATAATTCACAATTCGTCATCCAACATCATCATCATCAACAACAAACAATCAACAATAATGCAATGCACTAACTCAATATGCATGTGGTACCAAGTTATGAACACTCAAGTTCATTTTGCTCCCACTATAGGATTTGGTTCACTCTTGAACCAGAGTAAAACAAAATCGTCACCCTATCATAGGTAATTCTTCACTAATTCTCCTTCATAGGAATTAGCTACTCGCACTCAATCCCCACCATAGGATTGAGGCCACAACATAAATATAACTGAAGCTCCGTCAACATGGATGCATGATTCACAACATACAACAACAAAACCATTAGAACACATGCACATTAGTCCCCTATTGATTGTGCATGTCAACATCAATAAAACATCATCAACATAATTTCACTATTGTCATATCATCATCATAAAACATCAACATAATATTCCCATCATCATACAACTTATATTTCAATAATAAGACAATGCACCAATCAAATACACAAACCATCACATTGAATCGTCACAGTAGGAACATAAATAATATGCAAACACTTAATTTATCACTACCAGGTTATATCCCTAAGTGTTAGGTTTTCAACACTTCAAACAGAAATTCATTTGGATACACAGATCAAAAGTTATGATCAAAATTGTCAGACAGTGTAAAAATAACATTTTTGCAATTTTAGGTTGCATGTGTTGACACATATCCTTGATAGGTCGGCCTATGACCTTGATAGGTTGGCTCATTACCTTGATAGGTCGGCCTATGACCTTGATAGGTTGGATCATGCTGTTATTTTTGGCTAAAAACTCAGTTTTTCAACTTGTAAACATCAACACACATACCAGAAGCTTATTACACGAATTTATATCATTAAGATCCGATTTGTTATCACTTTATCATCTTAATCTCATCTATTTCTTCATGGAATCATGAATCAACATCACTACTTAACTATAACTTCAATTTCATCATTTTCAATCACAAGTTCATATCTTTTTCAACATAATACATGACATACATCAATAAGAAATAATATATAGCAGTAGCATCACCAATTATCATCAAATTTCACAATACAACATATGTGTCTAACATTGTCAATACGTTTTTCACCAATATCAATCTCATTCGCAGAGATTCATCATCAATCAAAATACTAAAACCCTAAATCTACCCTTCCCACATGTGAACCATAATTGAGAATTATTACCCATCCTTACCTTGTTATTCCTAGCAATGATCTCTTCAACCTCTAGCAATGATACTCTTCATATGATTCTCCTTCTTTGACCTAGCCTCTTTCTCTGCATTCTTCTTACAACTTCACGTAGAATTCCAAATAGTCCCTCTTCTCCCAATTTTCCTTTTTCTAATAACAATTATCCCTCAAAATACGATTTTCCACTTCTATCCTCAACTTACTCTCACAAAAGACCACTTTGTCCTTATTTCTTATACACCTTATATTTCTATTTCATTTTAGTTAAATAATAGTATAAAATTATTATCAATATCATATTCCCCTAACCTACAAATTCTCACACATTAATCAATTAATTTATTCTCCTCTAGTATTTCTCCTTACTCCTAACTTAAAGACACATAACCCACTAACATACAACAATCTAAAACATAATGAAAAGGAATATTCAACAAATAAAACATCAAAACACCTACTAGAAAGAATCAGGGTGTTATAACTCTCTCTCACTTACAAACTTTTCGTCCCTGAAAATTACCTGATTAAAATAGAGTCAGATATGACTCTCTCATCTTCTCTTCAAACTCCCAAGTCATGGTTCCACTAGCTGCTCCTCCCCAAACTACCTTTAACAAGGCAACCTCTTTACCCCGCAACTGCTTCACCTTTCGATCATCTATCAGTTTGGGCAATGCCTCCATCATCAGATTATCTCTCACCTGCACATCATTAACTTGGATCACATGAGACGGATCTGGAATGTATCTCCATAATTGAGATACGTGAAACACATTATGAAGATTAGCAAGCAGAGGCACCAAAGAAATCTGATAGGCCACCTCTCCCATCCTCTGTAAAATATGGTACGGACTAACAAAATACGGTGTGAGCTTTCGAGACTTCAAAGCGCGACCAATACTAGTTACCGGGATAACTCTCAAAAACATGTAATCTCCCTCCTGGAACTCGAGTGCTTTCCTCCTCTTGTCATGGTAACTTTTTTGACGATTCTGCGGCATTTTCATATCTTGATCTTTTCAGTCGTCTGGTGAACAATCTCAGGTCTGGGCACAACACTCTTGCCTGACTCATACCAGCACAAAGGAGTCGCATACCTCCTACCATATAATTCCTTGTACGGTATCACTCAAATAATAGAATGATAACTATTTTTGTAGGTAGACTCAATCAACGGCAAGCAGCTATCTTAAGCACCTCCTTATTCTAGCACACAAGCCCTCAACAAATCTTTCAACGACTGGATAGTCCTCTCTATTTGATCGTTTGTCTGCAGATGGTAAGCAGAAATCAACCTCACCTTAGTACCCAAAGTTTATTCAAACTCTCCCAGAACCACTATGTGAATCTCAGATCTCTATCAGACACAATACTTGAAGGAATACGCAGTTTCACAATCTCAGCAATATATAATTCGACTAGCTTCGTCAAAGAATAATTCATCCTCATCGGTATAAAATGGGCCGATTTGGTCAATCTATCAACAATCACCCAAATTGAATTCTTCGGAAGACCTGTCACAAAATCCATGGAAATTTTATCCCATTTCCACTCTGGAATATTCTATGGTTGCATCAGACCCAACGGTTTCTGA